GTCTGGACACGATTCAGAAGACATGGCAGGAGAACGAACTCAATAAAAACATCACCACAGCAACAAATGCCCATATCGAAGTGTACTGAGTTTTGAGGTCTGAACAACGGATCAACAACAGGGTACACGGGTAGTAACCCATAAGAGCTCCGTTCTTCTTCTAACTCAATCTGATCCGAGTAAGCTCAGCACAGTGCACAGGCTCTATAGCACCGGCGAGGATCCTGAAATACTGTGGGTAGGTTTTTTTTTTTAACTCCAAATTTTGCTCGGGCAGCGCCGTTAGGCCACTTTTTTCGATTTCCAACTGCTAAAAGATTTTTTTACGTGCGCAACAATGCAGACGGGCGACCGATCTCACTACCCAGAGACCAGGGGAATTTCTAGAAGTCCAAGTGAAAAAAATCCCACCCCTATATCCTTACGTCCTTTTAAGGAAGTAATTTTTTTTTTTTTGAAGCCCCACTCTGGTTTTTGCCAGGGGCCGCAATATAGGCAGCCATAAATATGGCCAATTGTCTGAACGCGGTTTCTGGGACCTCTCCACGGTGATCCTCATCCACATGGTGGCACTTTGTGTCATCGGGTGTTTATCGCTTTGTATGATGTCCTAGTGGGGTAGAAAGTCAGTCAGTCAGTCATCCCACCCCTTACCGTGAATTAAACCTGAAACCTCTAGCACTCGAGGCGAACACCATGCCTCGAGATCACGCAGCCCCATAAGGCAAGTCTAAGACTTCAAAATTCTCTGAACATTTCAAGACGCCATACAAGTATATCTATTATTATAATAACAGTTTAAAACCCAGGCAATCATGCTCAATAACCCTGTATTATTATTATTATCATCATCATCAGGTTTTCTAATGTTTGTCCTATTCAACACCAGCGCCCCTTCCTCGCTTCTTGATTCAACTGAAAGTGTTTGCAACCGAAAACTCTATATTAATGATTTTGCTATTCTATTATTTTTTCTGCATTCGCCATCGAAAGGGTGATTGGCTAGTTATGTTGTGGTTTAAAGCTAGCAGCGATATCTGTGCCTTTTGGCCTTAGGCACACGATGTCAGCAAATTTCATCAGTCGCATTTTATGACATGCTTGTTACCGGAACAATTAGTCTATCCCCCCTCCCCAACATGGCGCTGAAACTCACACGGGGATGTTATTCTATTTCATTCCCTCTTTTAGTGAAGGCAAATATTGCTCACAAACTATTAAGATGTTTACGGTATCATAGCTCTTAAGGCTGTGTTACAAAATCACAGTCAAGGACTTTCATGATGTCAAGCACAGGGCGTCGACCTGAACTGTGCCAGTACGCTAACCACGGCTTTCTTGTAATTAAAAAGAGGGATTATGGGTTTTCCTCTAACTGCAGAGTTAAGATACTCAGATTGGAGAGTTAAGGATTTCCAGTGACTGGAGAGTTACAATATTCTGATTCGAAAGTTAAAGGTTTTCACTGACCGGAGAATTAAGGTACTCTGACTGGAGAGTTAAGGGTTTCCAGTGACTGGAAAGTTGAAGAACTCTTAAAATGTTTCCACTGACTGGAGAGTTAAAGATTCCTATTAACTGGAGAGTCAAGGTACTCTAACCGGAGAGTTAGGTATTCTGACTAAAGAGTTTAGGGTTTTCACTGACTGAAGAGTTAAGGTACTCTGACTGGAGAGTTAAGGTTCTCTGGAGAGTTAAAGGTTTCCACTGACTGGAGAATTAAGGAACTCTAACCAGAGAGTTAGGTACTCTGACTGAAGAGTTAAAATTTTCCACTGACTGGAGAGGTAAGGTACTCTGACTGGAGTGTTAAGGTACTCTAACCGAAGAGTTAAGGTACTCTGACTAAAGAGTTCAGGGTTTCCACTGACTGGAGAGTTAAAGTACTCTGACTGGAGAGCTGAGGTACTCTGATTGGTGAGTTAAGGGTTTCCACTGACTGGAGCGTTAACGTTATCCTCTGACTTGAAAGTTAAGGGTTTTCACTGACTGGAGAATTAAGGATTTCCTCTGACTGAAGAGTTAACTTTTTCTCTGACTGGGGAGTGAAGGTTTACTCTGACTTAAGAGTAAAGGGTTTTCAATGACTGGAGAGTTAACGATTTCCTCTGACTTTTTTTTTTTTAAATACAGAGTTAAACACCACTTCGACTAAAGTTGAGGTTGTTTTTGACTAAAGGTTGGTGATGTTTTCAAATGCTATTCCAACTAGCAAAAGTGCTTTTACCAAAGAGAAACTTACATAACACTAAAATACTAAACCCTCTCTCTCTCTCTTACATTCATGCACAGATATACTCCCCCCCCCCCCCCCCCACACACACACACACGTACATACACACAAACAGTGTTTCACAAACAATAAATAAAAAGTAACAAAATGTTTTAGTGACTTGTGTAATATATTGGACCCCCTTGAGGGACCCCCCCCCCCCCACCCCCCAGAAATCCTGTGGGTTCATAACCGATTTTTTTTTTCTTCTTTTTTTTTTCTAAGTAACCGATTTTATTTTAGTATTCACCATGCAAAAGATTTAAAGGCTCAAATCCATACCAAGGTAGACCTAGCAAGACTGACCTGTAAGGTCAACCCAGCGTAAAATAGGTACCTGGAAATTTCATGGGAAACAAAGGCAGATTGACATCAAGATATTGACCACATCAACCAGTAAATAATTGAGTAAGTGAGTTTTAAAAAAAAAAGCGAAAGGACGCTTTCAACACCTTTAGACATAATGGTCATATAGGGTCATATATTTTATGGATCAACCGGCGCTCGGTGGGTGATATCCTACCAGCCGCCTTTTCTTTCCAGGACTGTACCTGGTACCCATTCAAGACTGGGCTGACCTGGGAGCCAAGGTCATTCTGGAAGAAAAAGTCTGGCTCCATCACGACCCCAACCCATGACTTTCCGATCCACTAAGATATGTTATCTGTGCCAAGTTTAATGCCTGTAATAGTTTGTGTGCCATTACAGATGGCTAAGTGTCTCTACTAGCATGTCTTGGTATCTGATTCTGCACACCTGTGTCCTGTACGTTATTACTATAAACTGAGTGGAAGTAATGTTCTCTAGTGGTCCACACCAACAAATCTGGTGCCAAGGTAGTGTAAATGGTGTTTACCGTCAACGAGCGTAAAAATACCAAAACATCCCTAATTCCATACTCATGAACAGTTACGTCTTTGGCACTTCCCCTTGCAGTACTTCTTTCTTGCCTACAGGCACCTTTGGCACCTGAGACCTAATCACAACAACAACTCATTCCAGAAGCAATAGTCATTTAAAGAAAAGAGAGTTGCGGAAAAAAAAAGCTGTGCACTTTCATCTTGGAGACAGTGTGTCGACCGAGTCGAATGAACCCGAGCCACTTTTCGGCACACTGTGTATAGATGGCGAATGAAGGTATCTTAGAACATAAGACAGCCTGTGGAAACCACAACGAAATCTCACGGCCGATGAGATGGACTGACTTTCGTGAGTAGTACCTAAGTTCAAATGCCAGTCTTGCACTCTGGTGGTTTCTAAATCTATAGAAGAGGAAGGACAATTCCACAACAGTCACTGCAGAGACGGTGCCTTGATGTTGGGGTGGGAGGAAAGTTCTAAACAAATCAAATTCAATATATGTCGGTCCTTCTCAGCAATCTGGCATCACACAACAGTACTGAACGTTGCTTTCACCACAACAATCCTTGAAGGTCTCTTTTTCTCTAGCCAATTCTCCAGCCAATGTGCTTTCATAGCCAATGCAACTTTAATGTCTTATATCTATCTTCTGTGAATCCTGGACAATCGGTAGGCAGGCCAAACAATCTCTTGAGGCGTCAGAGATATGGTTTTACAGAAGAATGCTTAGAATACCTTGGACAGCTTTAAAGAGCAACCAAGAGGTTTTGAAAGAGGCGGGAGCCCGAAGACAACTTATCCCAGACATCAGAAGGAGACAGTCATAATTTTTCGGCCACGTTATGAGAAGAGGGAGAATAGAACATGGTGTGACCACTGAAAGAAATGTGGAAGGAGGGATAGAGGAAGACAACAAGAGATGATTCTTGACAGTCTTGTTGCATAGCATAGAGGTGTGTTGGCACATAAACTGATATATGCTGCAGGAGATCGCAGACTGTGGAGAGACATGATCGCCCATGCCAGTTGGCAAGGCACCTGATGATGATGATCCATCTTCACAGAGGTCTGCCTCAGCCTCGTGTTCAAGAAACTGTGCCCTCCATCACCATTCTCTCCAGGTCAGCAGGGAGCTAGCCTTCTCTGTGGGTTTTAAGGTCTCCTAATTAATTTTGCAAGCGAGCTCTAGAAAAAAAAGATACTAGTAATACACAGGCTTTCTCAATATATTATAACCAGCACCAGAGTCCTTTCTTTACTTCTCAACTGCCAGAATTTACAAAAGCTCACTGGGAGCTATGGTAGTGCATTGGCTACTCTTGCCTGTCAGCCCAAAATTGTTTAATTTATCTAAGGCTTACAGGTCAACCTAGCTTACAGTGGGTACCAGGAAAACTCCCAGAAGTAAAGGCGGCCAATTATTTGTAATGACACAGTTTACCATTACCAGGAATCTGGAATAAACATCTTGTTAGCATGAATTATGTGTAAGAGGTGGCACTTAGGGAGGTACCAAGGCTGTATATGAGGAAACTCTAAGTGGGGAATCTCTAAGCCTGTTCTTCTAATAGTTCACGTGACTTGTCGCCCTTGTCACGACTGTTCCCTGTTACACATCTCCATTTACACGACTGTTGCCTGCAAATACAGCTTGTACTCAAAAGGTAAGAGCTCCCATTATCTGCAGTATACTCCTTAAGTTTGGCTGAGCAGCATGACAGAGGGCTGGGTCAACAGATATTTTGTCCCAGTAGATATAGCAACAGTCAAATATGGATCTAGCATCATATAACTGAAGTGTTAATGGTGTGAAAAGAGTTCTTTTACTTATCAACCTGTATAAATTTTTAAATTACACAGTACTCACCCTCTCACTCAAGGCATTGTACTTGATGCTCAGTTCATCCCTTTCCGCTCTTGATGCTGACAGGAGATCCTCAACTCGATTCAGTTCCTGTGACAGAAGACGGTTCTCCTCTTGCAAACCAGAGACTGAAGGCTGCGTCATTATTCCCGGCCCAAATGATTCCTCCGAGGACAGATTTCTGGTGATGATTTCACGGATTCTTGCTGGGATACTGGCTGGCCTACCATCAGCTCCTCTCAAGGAGAAGTCTTCTGAATCTCTCAAAAATGAATCTTCCAGCCTCTGAAAAGGAGATTTTTTTAAAAATGTATTATTAACCCCCCTCTCACCCCCCCCCTCCCCCCCCCCCCCCCCCCCCACCCCCCCCCCCCCCCCCCCCCCCCCCGCCCCCCCCCCCCCCCCCCCCCCCCCCCCCCCCCCCCCCACCCCCCCCACACCTTAAAAAGAACACTGAAAAATTAAACTTAAAATTAAAAGAAATTAAAACAAAAACGTGCTATGACCCTGATGAAATCGTAAAAAAAAAAGCTTGTTTTTCTTTTTCTTTTTCTTTTGGCAGAAAGAAAGTTTTGGTTGTTCGTGGACTTCTGGACTGCAGTCCTGTTCCAAAACCTGAGTGTTGCGTGCACAACCATTTTACAGATCTGACTCAGTTGTATGTAGACTGTTGGTTTCTTGCCTCTCAGGCAGATGCACTCTGACTTTGAAGGACTTCCCAATTAGTCGACTCTTATGACATGCTTCTGGGTAGGCAGTGAAGCCTAATTTTCCCCCCTGTAATAAGGCCCAAAAACCCAAACAGGGGAAGATCATTAATAAATTTTCTGGCTATCCTTTGAATAACGATCCTAAATTATTGAGGCGGAAAATATATCCTAACAGGGCCTCAGTCACGTGTCAATTGCGCACTTCCGTCATCTTAAATTGCGCACTTCTGGCGACTTCTGAGAGTATCCACCACGCCGCTCACGCGGCGTGGGGAATACTCTCGGCGGTGGCGGAGGTCGCCGGAAGGTCGCAATTCAGCGGTGGTGTTATAGTTCCCGGAAGTGCGCAATTGACACGTGACTGAGGCCCTGTTAGGGTATATTTTCCGCCTCGAAAATTTAGGAGCATTATTCGAAAGATAGCCAATTTTCTTTTAAATTTATGTATATGCATTTTAAACAATGGTCTTTGAAAGTATGCTTTTAACACCATTTGCCCAAAACATAAGGACCTTAAAGGTTTCTAGCAGAGTCTACAGGTAGATAATAATAATCAAGTGCTTACAGGAGAGAGGACTGGTTTCATTACACCAAACTGTTTTCCATTTAGCTCTGTCTCTATCCACACAGTGGGTGTTTCCCCACTAACAGTGTTTCACAAAGCATAAAACTCTTCAGATCCAGCAACAATTGCCAGGGATTTAAGAAATACCTGCACTCACAAATAGATGGTCAATATGGTGGATATATGAGCTTACTGTTTTTAGCCCTGGCAAGATTTTGCTTCTGACTATAGTCAGCCAATGTAATTTCTCTAATATGTAAGCTGAAAGGATATAGTTCCGTGGCACAGCAAGTGAGCTGAGTGAATGGTGCAACATTGTGAGTTAGGGATTTCATTTGGAATGCTTTTTGTCTGTATGCAACGATATGTCTGTTGTGAACTGCAGATTCAGAAAATGGTGAGTGTTCTGTTGCCAGTGTATGGGTGGTGAATTATGCGATTATTTGCTAACGCAACTACTTTTCTGTTAATTGTTGCCAGACTGTTGGTGCTGACAATTCTGACAGCTGCCTTATACATTTAATCTGTGTTTATGCTATTGGCTTTACTGAGACTGCAGTCTGTAAAATTTTTCATAAGGGACAATGATGGACATTCTGTGAGGCTTTTACTGGCAACTATGGGGTGATCCATTTGCTGTGAAGTTGGAAATGTGATCACCTGATTGTCACAGAGAGCCACAGACAATACCTACTAATATAATACAACATGAACATATAACTTGAAAATATATAACATATACCCTGCGGCATAATAAATTATACAGCCAGATTGTTCAACTCTTTGTAGACTATTCACCAGTTAAATGGCGTTTGAATCTATCCCGATCAGACTATTGACCACTATACTGGCACTTCAAAGGGACACTCTAATTTTGTTCTGTTTGCGGGAAAAACAAATTTTTATGAACAGTTTTTGAAAAACTAGGATTAACAACAGAAAGTCCTTTTGTTTCCGACATTTGGCATGGTGTTTTCTTCACTTTCTGATTTTAAAAAAAATGTATTTAGAGGTGATACCATTTTTACATGATTTTTCTGTACCAAATGATAAAGGAAAAGGTATAGAACTGTTTATAATGCTTTGTTATTGCTGAATCCTAAGCAGATAGTAAAACAGTCTTGATATTATGACTGATAATGCATGTGCCAAACCTGTGTTGATAAATACGTTAGGATAAAGATATAACAAAATATTTCATTCTGATCATTTCTGTTTTGGGATCAGCTATTTTTCACGATTTTGGATGTTGTGAAACCTGACCTGTCATACAAAAATGGCCATAACATTAAAAGTATTTAAATTAATTGTCTCAAATAAAGACTAGCTCATACATAATTAAAAGAAGACATGCAACTTCTTAGAAATTGATATCAGTGTTGCTGAAGAAGTACAAAAATTAGGTAAGCACACAATAGTTTGCATAAATAATCTTCAAATATGTCTAACATCCTTGAATGTGTGATTTTAAAATATTTTGTCGAAATACTCTCATTTAAATAGTAAAGATTTATTCTGCACTCATTTCTCTTTAATTTGATACATTATATGTCCCCAAACAGCAAATACTTTTTTTCTTTAGGAAGGTTTTAGCTTTGTTATGTTTCAGTAAAGAAATTCCGCTTGAAATTAACGCTGTCCAAACACCAGAAAAAATATGGTCCTGAAAGAGTTAAATATGTTCAGACCAAAGGTAAAAAAATATATAACAACACACTATGCTTTGATGTACATGTACAATAAGTGATCATGCATAGCGCATCATTATGACAAAATAGTTGAGGGGACATTTTTCTCTCATAACACTAGTGATCTTAGTTTCAGATTCATAGCAAATGAGTCACCTCATAGTTGCTCATCTTCTGTGCCAACTAAATATACACAGAATGTCCATCACTGTCCTTCGTGAAAAAACAGACACAGATTGCAGTCTCAGCATGTCCACTAGCACACACATAGGTTAGTTGCGTATCTTTTACAGGCCAACCCCAACAGCCCCTAGCTGTTGTGTGGTTTTTCTAGGCAAATTTATGTCCAGTAGTTTGCCATTGCTTTCTGGACGGTCGGCTTTCTTGATACCACTGTTGAAAACCAACGCAAGGTGGCCCGCAGTGGGATTGAAACCGGCATCCCAGCATTACAAAGCGCTCGCATTAATTTAACCACAGAGCTGACCCACTAGCACACACACGCAGTAAAAGCATACACAGCCATCAGAAGTGCTAACACAAACAGATCATGCCATGATAGCCTCATATTGTTAGACCAGTTTACATTCAGTAAACATGCAAAACATGTTTACTTCCCAGGGTTTACCTTGAATCCATTTTAGATGTATAACAGTTATATATAGCCAAGGGAGTGAACTCCGACTAAGAGGCCGTCGCCTTGCAGCTAGCGACCGTTATTTAAAGGAGAGCCCTTTTTTTTTATATTCTATTTAAAAAAAAAAAAAAAAAACCTGCATATAATAGTGGTTAAATATAATATTAATAACTTGGTAAAACAAAAAAGGTACAGCTTAGACTTAAAGTATTTCAAAATTCAGAGGGGAAAAAAACTTGCGTAGTTTAATTCACTATTTTACCAATACTAATTTAATTAGGTTGAGTTACTGTGTTAGACGACGGTTTAAACTCACTTAGTGCACCATCATAAGTTTAACTATACATTAATAAAACGTAGAAAACATTTCTAACCCGTGGTTTCAGGTAATCCAACCGCTCTATCGCGTCTGCATCATCTTCTTTGTGGACATTAAAACTACTAGGCAAGTTAAAAAACTCATCCAACATTTGCCTCTGTTCGTTTCTGTACTCATCTGACATTGTTGGGGCATCCTCGTCAAGCTCATCGTCCCGAACTGGAGGCGATATACGATGCGAACTATTTATATTCATTTATTTAAGTTGCTTCAGGTATCATATAAATATCCTGTACAAACAGGGTTCGAATTAACTCAAAAGTTGAGTGAATAAAGTGTAAAAGACTTTGGGGAATAATTTCCAAGAAGATAAAATTCAAATTCTCTAGCAGAAGTGGTGAGCAGAGCGGAAGTTGGAAAGTTCGTGTTTCGCAGAGTTTCCCCGTGATAAAGTTTTCATTTTGTTGAGAACAAAAGTGGTTGCCTGGTGACAGCGTCTGCTTGCTCAGAACTATCTATCAGCACTATCATCATGAGGCATGCCAAGCGACGCAGAGTTAATTTTTTTTTTTTTTTTAATATAAACATTATCAGGACCTTGGAGCAAGAAAAAAATAGTAACAATGCAAACCATCATGAAAGTTGTAAGAGAAGACTGGACAGAGTGAGAATGAAACCCTAATCTTTATAGAAACCCAGCTGCAAAGTGAATCCAGTCATTATTATTTCTTCAAAGTTAGTTAAGGACTTTTTTTTTTTCAGCCGTCCTCAGTACGTTACGCAGTAATGTTATCGATGTAAGGTTTTTTTTTTTCAGCATTACTGTAAAGACACTTTGTGGTGAGTATCGCTACCTTTTGTTAGACACTTTATGCTGAGTTAGGTTAGTTGCGTATCCTTTACACGACGTTGCCGAACCAACCCTAACTGCCCCTGGCTGTTGTGTGGTTTTTCTAAACAAAATTACGTCCAGTAGTTTGCCTTTGCTTTCTGGACAGTCGGCTTTCTTGATACCACTGTCGAAACCAACGCAAGGCGCATGGCCTGCAGCTGGGATCAAACCCGGCATCCCGGCATTACGAAGCGTTCGCAGCGACTTAGTTATGGTGAGTAACGGCCCATTTTTAAAGATGAAAGAAAGCAACAGTTGAGGCTATATAAAATACTGAAAGTAAAGAAGAGGTGGGATAGGAGAAGGAGAAAGGGGAGGGAAAGAGGAGAAAGAAGAATGATGAGAAAAAAGAGAAAGCAGTAAAAAGGATAGCGTATGTTTAAAAAAACTGGAACGAATGATGCTAAAGTAATATGAGAGTTAATTTAACAATACTCTGAGTAAGAATAAGGTAAAATAATATTTATGTACATAATTTCAAAGCTTAAAATAACGTATGGGCTAGACAGAAGTATAGTTAAAGACAGTTATTATTGGTATATTGTTACAACTCGGACACAAGGACTTAAGCAATAGACAAGGTAATGTAACAACTCTTCTGAAGAGCCAGGACTCTGTAATGGATGTCTGACGAAATTTTAACTATTTTCACAATAGTTAGTTGACAGGTCATCCTCGGTGCACATCATGCCCTTCAGTTCTCGGGTAGTAACTCGTAAGTGCTCCGTTCTTCTTCTAACTCAAGTCTGAGTGCGAAGAAGCTCAGCACAGTGCACAGGCTCTGTAGCACCGCCGAGGATCTTGAAATACTTTAGGTAGATTTTCAACTCAAAATTTGGCCAAGGCAGCGCCTTAGGCTACTCTTTTCAATTTCCAACTGCGCTACTCTTTTCGATTTCCAACTGCCAAGGTATTGCTTACGTGCGCAACAATGCACACGGCTGTCACTACACAGAGACCAGGCGGAATTCCTAGAAGTCCAAGACAACGTGAAAAAATCTCAGCCCTTACCGGGGATTAAACCCGGAACCTCTAGCATTCAAGGCGGACAGCATGCCTCGAAACCACACAGCAAGTGTATTTTTCAAACAGGTGTGATAATCATAGTGTGTAGTCTATCTTTCTGAATATTTAAAGTGATCTATGATACCATTATTCTATTTTAAGCTATACTAAAACCTCATATGCTAACATTTGTTCTTGTGATATTCTGTTTCAACGACAGAAGATTCTTGACAGTCTTGTGTGTCAGCATACGAACTGATACATTGCTGCAGAAGACCGCAGATTGTGGAGAGGCATGATCGCCCACACCAGTCATCAAGGCACATGATGATGGTGATGATGATGACGATGATATACTTTTTAATCTCTTCTAGTAGGTCTATCTAGAGAGCGATCTATTCCCATTACGTTTTATGTTGTTATAGGCTTCTTGCATGGGGGTCATATATTTATTACGGGGAGTGCTTTCCTCATTTCTTGTATGCTTTAGCACACACACACACACACAAGGAGAGAGAGAGAGAGAGAGAGAGAGAGAGAGAGAGAGAGAGAGAGAGAGAGAAAGAGAGAGAGAGAGAGGGAGAGAGAGAGAGAGATAACGAGAGAGAAAATTATGTATGTAAGCCATGAATGCCTCAGTCTCCAACAACTGTCTTAGGCAATTTGGAAATACTGTTTCAAGTAACAACTAACAGGGCAGAAAAAAAAGGCAGTTAAAAACATGCATATGTAAAGCATACTGAAACACACTGAAAATGAGATTCGTTCAATGTTATGTATACTCAACTCTGATATATGGTGCAGAAACCTGGACAATGAACAAGTAACTAGAAAATACAACTCTCTCTACTAATGTGGATATACAGAAGAATATGTCGTATTTCGTGGAAACAAAAGCAATCAAATACATAGGTTCTGGAAAGACTGCGAATGAAAAGAGAATTACTGAAAGAAATGAAAGAGAGAAGTGAACTATTCTGACCACATTAAAAACATAACTCTCTTTTAAAAACCATACTGGAGAGAAAGGTCAAGGGCAAGACAACTTGGACAACGATACAAGTGGGGAGGGGGGGGGGCACTTCCAAAATATGGACGAACAGCGGTTAAAAAGAGTGTACAACTATAACAAGAGATCCACTGCAGCCAATCTTCATTATGGTGATGGCACCTAATTGATTGATTGACTGATACGTTGCAATATATCAGAAAAGCTTATGCTGCAGATATAAGGTATTTACCTGAATAACTCTGTCCAGTCTATGATCGCTGTCGGTTGACATCTAGATTTGACCAGAATATCGCAAGAAAACTTCACAGCTTCGGTATAACTTCAAAACAATACAGTGGTGGCCACCACTCATTACCAATCGACACAAACAAAGAAATGAGATCTACGAAACAGCTGTATCTAGTGTTCGGAATTCCTGTATTTTAAAAAGTCTTCAATAAACACAACTGCGGTTAAAGTTATTTAAGTTAACAACGTCGAAAAACTACATGTCCTTTAGTTGATAAATGTATTCTAAGATAAATTCTCTACAAACCGGGAATCATTTTGTTTGCTCTGCTAGATAAATTGTCTCACAACGAAACACCGAGAACGTTGTCAGATCATTGTTCGATCAGAATTTGGCAATCACACACTTGTCTGGAAGACCTTATGTATATAAACATTCACAGGCACCTCATTAACCAGGTAGCCGTTTGATCTTTAAAGAATTTAAAGAACCGAATCTATCTACCGCCTAAAATATAATTTAAAAACACGTTGTAAACACCACGAATTTAACATATAAAAAGCAGTTTTACAAAGCAGACATAAACGGAAGACCAGGTCACTTGATCAGTTGCAGGAAGACAAACGTTGTGTGTGTTCGATAGTTCGATACACACGGCGAGATCAAGTCTGCCTTGCTTCAGGCCGCCGCGGGGCTGTGCATAAATGAAGTCGTGTCCGTGCCTGTCCTCCGTGCCGCCCATTGCTTTGGCGGTTATAATGAATATTACAAGCTGACAGATAAGAATATTTCGTAGGAGAAGAAACTTTTAATATCTACACCTGGAAGAGTGGCATGTTGTTTGTAGGTAGATCCGGAATTTGTATGGTATAATGCGGATGTAGTTTCCCGCCAGTGATAAAATGAAATTCAGGAATTCAAAGTCTGTGTGGTTGTGTTGGGCTAAGAACTGTGATCATATTACTCAGGGCATTCCCATAAGCGCTCTGTCCTTATCTTCACCAGCCAGCGAAGATTTTCAGTTTCGATGCTGCTGCTTCAGTTTCCTAATATGGCTCGCCTTGATTTTCCTCTGAGCGTTATATCAGTAAAGCTGCTGTAGGCTTCGGTTCGAAATGAAGACTAAGCAGAAAAATTATTATTAATAATAACCCCCTCCCCACACACACACACCCAGTTTAAACTGTTGTTACTCCTTCTATTCTTCTATTTTAAACTTTTGCGGTGAAGATAAAAGGGGATGGTAGGCAGGTGGAGAGGATGACACCGCTAGCATGAGAATCATTTATGTACAAGTCACTGAAACCCCGTTCAACCGCATGGAACATATTTAATAGGGCCCCTGGCGATAGCGTAATAACCTGAACCGGGTGTGAATGTACAGGCTAGGTAAAGAAAAAGAAGACGTGTAACGATTTGTGTGGAAACGTTTTCATAACAGGGCAGCAAATAATATTGTCATAATCATCCATTGGCTGCGTTCTTTACAAAAAGTCGTTTTGATTATGTGATGACGTAGCCAGGGAGTAACTCCGTTGATAAAAACTTTTGTCGAAACGTATTTGTGCGAGTCTTCCATTCACTTCGATGAGCTTCTAGTGACATTATTATGTTGTATATAGCACTCTCTCATCAAGGCAAATCTCAAAGTCCCTCTGTCTGTAGCCCATTTCCCAGCGCTGTGTGGTTTCACAGTTAATGCATCTTCATATATCTAAATTTGCGGAGACCGGCCTCTGCATCGTTGTCAGGAAAATTTACCCCAGTCGCCGTTTTGTCCACCAGGTCACCAGGGCGTTTAACATGACCAGAATACCTCAGCTCTCGGCACAGGATGCCTGTTTATGAACCAGTTCTAATCGATGTTCAGGTCGTGTAGGATGTAGCAGATAATATAAGGAACTAAACTTCTGGGTATACAAACGTTAGCTTCGCCATTTGCGCAGTGTTACACACTAGCTCACTTCTGATTGGTCGACCTTCAGCCTAACTTACTTCTGATTGGGTCGATTATATCTGAGGTCGTTATCAAGTTTCTTGTTTCTGTTTACTTTATAAGTCTGTCTTTAAATCTATTTATTTCCTTTACATCTGTATGTGCTGATTTATATTCCTGAATTCATATTTCTGTAGGGTCATAGTGGTTATAAGCCGCCTGGCTCACACCCTGTTTCGTTTCACGGGTTGCGAAGAAGGTTTTTGGGTATTGCCGCTAGAGATAGGGAATTCGATATTTGTGTGCATTTATTTTTAATGGTATAAAATCTTGAGCCACGGTACCCAACCACAAGGTTACGGGGGTTTCCCGCAATGCCGCTGATTTCGCGTGTTGTATATTTCAGCACGCCAGCTCTTTTAAAACTTCAAAAACATCGACAAGCTGGGTCTAATATAAAACCCCTTTAGAGAGCCTGGTGGTGTCAGGTATGGTCACATGAAGGCTTTGAGCGATGTAGACCTGGCGGAGATGGCCGACTGTTTTAACTAGAGTATTAAGACAGCATCAGTACCGCAAGACTGGGTGCACAGCTATCTAATCCCACTACCAAAACCTTTTAAAGATCATTCTAAGCTTAGTGGCTTTAGAATCATCACCTTACAAAACACATTTAGGAAGGTCTTGGAGAAGATAGTTGCTGTAAAGTTACAAGAATTTTTGGAAAGGGGGAAGCTTCTCCCAAGAGGTCTGGGAAGTTACAGGCCAGGAAAGGACACTTGGGCAAATGCGGCCACTTTTGCTTTTGACGTCTATGAAGGGTTCCAGAACTGACAGGAAACTATGGCGGTAGGACTGGATCTCGAGGATGCTTATAACAGAGTGAGATACGACATCTTAATGACTGCACTGAGGGAGAAGGAGGTCAATCCATGGCTGGGGAATTGGGTTGCAGCTGTCCTGTATTCACGTCGGGTTGCTCTCCGACTGGGCTCATGGACCTCTAAACCATGCACTTTGGCCCCAGGACTGCCACAGGGATCCGCCATCTCGCCTGTGCTCTTTAACGTGTATACGAGCAAGATTGCAAGCCTAGAAGATACTGACTTTTGCGGATGATATACTTGCATATAGGCAGGGGGAAGAGAGGGAGCAAACAGCCAGGGAGCTACAAGCGACAGTAGACAAAGTGACTGAGTGGTGTACAGAAATGAAGGCTGTCGTCCACCTGGAAAAGGCGTCTGTTTTGTGGTGTTCTCTGGACAACAGAATCGTTAAAATGTCCCAAGTCCCACGATAGATGGTAGAGACGTCAACAGAGAGAGCAAACTGAAGTATCTGGGAATTACATTTGACAGGAGCCTGTATTTAAGGACCAGGTGGAGAGTGTTGTGACGAGATGCCAAAAAGGACTTAGTGCACTTAAGACTGGCTGCAATTGACATAGAGCGGAGAATGCTTTTCACACTATATCAGCACCTGATTCTGTCAGTGGTGGATTATGGCCTGGGACTGCTTACCGTCTCAAAGAGTCAGATAACTAGAGCGCATACAGAATGCTGCTATGCGGGTCATTCTGGGTTGCACCAGAGACACCCCAGTGGTAAGTATGCTATACATCCTTAGTTTGCCGACGGTTTCAGGTAGGCACAAGGTGATGCAGGCGAAGTCATAGCTCAGGGTAGCTGCAGACACAGACCACCCTCTGCATAAAGCTCTGGGTGCAGTTAAGGGTCAGCGGCTGATAAGAGGGAGGTCATGGATGGCTCAGGCAGAAGACACAATCAGACAGGTTTGCATCCTTGAGAACATTAGGCGAGGAGAGGAGTGGGTCAAAGTGCCACTTGAGCAGTCAGACTTGTGTAAGGTCATAATCACGCTGAGCCGGGAATGCAGATACTGGCCAGCAGGTGCCACAGAGGTGGAAATTCAGCAATTAATTCAAGATAATGCTCGCTCAGAGGATTTGATCATTTACACAGACGGTTCAATGTCAAGAGGCAAAAGAAGTGCTTGGGGCTTTTTAGCAAAAGTTAATGGTCGACTTTTGGTGCTGCAGAGCCTAGCATATGATACCACAACAATCAGCTTAAGAATGGAGGTGGAGGCGGTCACTGCAGCTTTCCGCTGGCTAGAGAACATGACACACACACACATTGTAATTGTAACTGATTCAGAAAGCATGCTGAGGAAGATCAGAACAGGTATGCTTCGTGCAGAGTGGCATGCTTCGCTGCGGAGGACACGAGTGAGGAGTATTGTCTGGATTTTTTCACCGGGTCACGCCGGTGTGTTGGGAAATGAACAGGCGGACAGACGGGCGGGCTCTGCACAACATCTGCGGAGCGGAGGAGCAGATGGATCACCACAGTTTGGTGAGATTGATGCAGTTGGGGATGACGAGAGGTTCTGGCAGAAGCTCAAGGCTCAGAGGAAAGGCAAGACGGACATTTAATCAGAAAGCTACTGGCACCATTAGTATCGGAACGCTTCGCTGGCTGCTGAAGATGGAGACGGAGCGCTTATGGGAATGCCCCGGGTGCTGTGATGTCGGTTCTTGAATCAAATCAAATCAATTAACCCTTTAGAGAGTGATGAAACCTATGTCACAGGCATTCTCTTTCTCATAATAAAAACGTAAATGCGAGACAACCCAGAAAGCAAACAACAGAGCGGCACACCCGTCATGTGCAGGAAGATAGACAAGCCCCCCCCCCCCCCCCCCCCCCAAAAAAAAAAAAACACTTATCAACGGAACGTGACCTGCTTTGTTTGGGGAGACTAACGTTTGTATAACCAAACTTTTTTTTATAGCTTTTTCAGCTGCAGGAAGATTTTGGACAGATGGTAAAATGAGAATGTAACCAATAAGGGGGAAAACGGTAGTGGGGAGGGGGTAAAGGGGGGGGGGGGGTCGATCAAAAGAGTTCTTGATGTTGAAATTCACAGTAAAAATCACATTTCTTAAGTGAGCATAGACCAAATGATGAGAAAAAAAAAAAAAAAAAAAGAACCTATTAAATGACTGTTGGGAGTCAAGGAGGATAGTCACACACTCTAAGCATTGGTGGATTTGTTTTTTGTTTTTTTTTCAAATTCAGTCTCA